GTCTTTTGCTTTGATATTGCTCACTTTTAATTTTGTATTGAGAGATTTAGACATAATGAGAAATGAAGAGACAGTTTAAATGAGACTTGGAAACTCACTTCTGAGCTCTATCAGCCTTGGACTTGTCCCATGATGTCAGGCAAGACTTTGGAACACTTTGCTACAACTTCATGCAATGTCAGGTTTGAGGGAATCTTTGTGAATAATTGGAAATTGATTTCATGATACTTTGATACTGAGCTCACAGGTGGTAGCTATTATTTTAGATTTCAGAGTGCAATCACAATAGATGAAATCTCAAAAGCTCTAGCAAAATAAAGACTCTACTTTTGTTCCATTCCTTCCAGATTTTCTTGAAGTCATAGATTAGGTTTAGATTAGACCACCCCATAACATAACTGTGGAAAAGCAGGGGAGTAAAACTCAAGACTAAATTGCCGCAGGCCTTTTTTTTCTTGATTGAAGCTGACTGTAAGTTTGGCAGGAAAAGAAAGTTAGATAGTAATAATCTAATTTAGAACCCCAAATGTATATTAATTTATCCCTGGCTTGGCATGAACGTGGGGCCAGTTTCAAAAGGTTTCTGCTGCTGGGGTTTCTAGCTGGCCGTTATTGGTGTAACATATGCAGTGTGCTTCCTCTGTCTTAATGGCTGTTGTCCAGTCAACCAGCTGGAACGTGGTCTTTTTTCCCAGTTTCTCATGTGACATTGCTAATAGTGAACCCCTACAAAGGTGATGGGTGATGGTAGTAGGCAACTCTTTTCTGAGAGGTACAGAGCACCCATTTGCCAACCTGACGCACTCCCTAGAGGCGTGCTGCTTACCGGGATGTCACCGAGAGACTGCCAGAACTTGTACAGTCCACTGACTATTATCTGCTGCTCTTGTTTCATATGGACACCAGCGATGCAGCCGGGAGCAGTCTGAGGAGCATCAAGAAGAATTACAGAGCCCTGGGAGCTGCGGAAAGGGGCTCTGGAGCGCAGGTAGTTTTTTTTCACCAGTCCTCCTGGTCAAAGTAAAGGGTTTGAAAGGACCAGCTGAATCTGGCGAATCAACGAATGGTTACACGGCTGGTGTTACAGCCAGGGGTTTGGCTAGTTAGACCATTGGACTCGCTTTGAGAAACCTGGTCTGCTGGGGGCTGATGGGGTCCATCTGTTAGAGAAGGGGAAGAGCATCTTCGGTCATGGGCTTGCCAAGCTGGTGAAGAGGGCTTTAAACAAAAGTTGCCGGGGGAGGGGAACCTCAATCCATCCCACTCCTACCAGTTTAATGCCAGTGCCAGCAATAGATGCCCTGAGCCTGGAGAGGGGTCACAGGGCAGCAGGAGAGCACCTGAAGAGCAGCACAAAGCAATTCCAGCCCCTCCAGCCAGTAAGTCAGCTTCACTGGGCCCCCAACTTAAATGCCTTTATGCAAACACACATAGCATGGAGAACAAACAAGAGGAGTTAGAGACGTGCACAGGCCTGCAGGGCTATGATCTTATTGGCATCACAGATACATGGTGGGATGGCTCCTATGATTGGAGTGTTGGAATGGAAGGATACAGGCTCTTTAGGAAGGTCAGGCAGGAGAGACAAGGAGGGGGTGTCACCCTCTATGTCAAAGAACAGCTGGAGGGCATGGAGCTCTGCCTGGGGATGGATGAGGAACCGACCGAGAGCTTATGGGTCAGGATTAAAGGGAGGGTAGGGACAGGTGACATTATAGTGGAGGTCTGCTACAGGCTGCCCAATCAAGAAGACCGAGTGGATGAGGCCCTCTATAGACAGATAGGAGCAGCCTCATGTTCACAAGCCCTAGTCGTCATGGGGGACTTCAACCACCCTGTCATTTGTTGGAAGGACAACACAGCAGGGCATAAGCCAAAAAAAAAAGGAAAAACCGCGTAACTACAGGCCAGTCAGTCTCACCTCTGTGCCCAGCAAGATTGTGGAGCAAATCCTCCCTAAATCTATACTAAGGCACATGGAAAATAAGGAGGTGATTGGTGACAGCCAACATGGTTTCACTATGGGCAAATTGTGCCAGACAAATTTGGTGGCCTTCTGTAATGGGGTTACAACGTTGGTGGATAAGGGAAGAGCAACCAACATCATCTACCTGTGCAAAGCATTTGACACTGTCTCGCACGACATCCTTGTCTCTAAATTGGAGAGACATGGATTTGATGGATGGACCACTTGGTGGATATAGAACTGGCTGGATGGTCGCATCCAAAGAGTTGCGGTCAATGGCTCGATGTCAAAGTGGAGACCAGTGACAAGTAGTATCCCTCAGGGGTTGGTACTGGGACTGGCGCTGTTTAACACCTTTGTCGGCTACATGGACAGTGGGATTGAGTGCACTCTCAGCAAGTTTGCCGATGACACCAAACTGTGTGGTGCGGTCAACACGCTGGAGGGAAGCGATGCCATCCAGAGGGACCTGGACAGGCTTGAGAGGTGGGCCCATGCAAACCTCATGAAGTTAAGGCGAAGTGCAAGGTCCTGCACATGGGTTGGGGCAACCCCAGGCAAAAACACAGGCTGGGTGATGAGTGGATTGAGAACAGCCCTGCGGAGAATGACTTGGGGGTGTTGGTAGATGAGAATCTCAACATGACCCAGCAATGTGCACTTGCAGCGCAGAAAGTCAACCATATCTTGGGCTGCATCAAAAGATGCACTTTAAATAAAATCAGCAAGGCTCCCCAGATATTACCTCGTATTTCTCTGGGACTCCAAAGCCAGAGCATTAAAATAATGAAAGGCAAAATTATGAGAGTAGAACCAACTTCCCGTCCGGAAAGAATAAATCACTATCTGTGCCTTTTTCTTGGGACTGACCCAGGACTCAGGTCTAAAGAGCAAAGCCTCTGAGCGTATTCCCAGGAGACACTCGATCAGCTCCTAATTACATGTGCAAGAAGTGGGTGGTTACTTCACTAGGAGCTTGTAATTGAAATGTCTACCCATGGGACTGGAGTAATTTCCCATCTCAGTCTCACTTTCTAATGCTAAATTCTGGGAAGAGAGCCTAGTCCTCAAGTGCTTTTTGTTGTGATTTGAGCATCACTGATTTGAATGCTCCTTAGTGTCTGATACCTTGGGAAAAGACTGTTTCCCGTCTTCAGATGCACAGCCTCACAGCAGTCAGTATTCAGCTGCTCACTGCTGTCTGTCTCTGGCTGGGTCAGTAAGGGTGGTCCTTCAGGCTCGGTTTTGTCTCTGCTTTAGCTGTCTGCCTTGCTTCTGAGGAGATGGTGTTTTCTCACATACATCCTCAGTTGAGAAGACTATATTTCATCCTTTGTTTTTACCCTTTTCATTCCCAAACACAACAGTGGGTTTTTTTTTATGTTGATTACTGTATTATACTATGTCTGGATTAATTTCTAGATCTGAGGTAGACTACTAGTCTCACTCCTCAGAAAGCTTTCAGGTTTTTCTGTTCTTATTCTCCCCGCGTGAAAGATTGCTGTTCCTCTGGACCAGTTTGCCATGCTGTACAGTACACCATGTTCCGCTTTTACTGTTTCAAAGCTCTGGTTGCCTTGTTTTTTCTGTGTAAACCACATCATGTCTCTCTGAATCTGTAAAAACTTGTTGATATGTATTGTTGAACTGTACCCTCTTGATTCTGTAGTATGTTTATGGAGGGGTTTGTCATAGCGTGGTCTGTTCCCACTGCTGGGGTGGACTACACTGACTGTATCTCGTTATCAAACCCTGTGAGCACGTAAATACTGGAGAGGAACTGACCTGCTTCAATGAATTGCAAGAATACTTCCTGAGTGTGAGCCCTCAACCTGACACTTCTTTGCAGTGGTCCATTGTCTCTTTCCTTTCACAGCTGTAAAAAATAGTTTGAGCAAGATACTGTTACACATTCAAAACCTTGTGATCTAGTTCATGCAATAATTTGATCAACTGTTTTGACTGCTAGGCTGTAGGAGAGGTAAGGACAGTCTTAAGGGAGTGCCTGGAAACTTATCCAGCTGGTCATTTCTCTTGCCCGGATCCAATACAGACATTATACAGAGCTGCTGCAACCTTTTTGCTGATAAGTCATTGCACTGCAGAGCTCTACAGGGCTGAGCAGTCGTTACTCCTCCCCGTGTAACTAAACCAAACCATGCCTGCAGCCGGTACACAGCAGAGAATTTATTGACTGTCTCTGGAATTAGGCAATTTTCTTAATTGTCTTCGTTTTCCAGGACTCTCTCATTCTTTTCCTATTTGTGTGCCAGCATGAGCTGACTGGAAAAAAAAGCTAAGTTTGAATGGCAAATGAGTCAAAGACAAGGACAGATACCTCTCAAAGATAATTGCATTCAGATATCCTGGGGAGCCCTTACAAATCCCTTTTCAGCTTCCACAGGTCTTTTCCCTCACTGTGGCTTTGGTTGGAGGAACCTCTATTAAGAAACAAGACATTCCTAAACAATGCCAGCAATGAGTCAAAAGACTTTCCTTTTTAATGATTTACCTCCCCAGTACTGTCTAGCTGAACCAAACTCCCATGCAAGGACTTTTTGCATTTTTTTTTTTATTTCTAAGGGTCAAAATGATTGCGGTGGCTCTGCCTTTCCCATCTACAAAGCACATTAAAGAGCACTAGGACACTAGCGGGACATAAAGAAGGAAACTACATAGCCTGTTCTTTTATTCAGGTTTTTGGGTTTGGGGTTTTTTTTTCCTTTTCTTCGGAGACTGGATGTTAATCCCTGTACCATTTCCCACAATGAATATGTGGTCTGAACTTTGACCTGTTTTAAGTAAATGCAGTAGGAGTCAATAACTGCGAGTTGTCTACATAGAGTTCCTAGACAAGAAAGTCACCTAATATTTTTAATACACCAAACTCATGACACTCAGTATACACATTATGTCTTATTTACATATCATTTTTCCATACTTACATGAAGTCTGTGGTATCACAAATGCATTAAAAAAATTATATTTCTGCTTCAGTATCTCTTTGACCAGCAAAAAATAGTAACTTCCATACACAGGATTTACTGTACCTTTTAAGTGAGGTGGTCCTAGCACAACTGTGGTCCTACAAAAATACAGTGCTAAAGTATAGTACACATTTTGAAAAAAACCCTGACATCTGGGGGTGAACAGTCCTCTGGCAGTTTTGGGATACCATCCAGCATTTTCAGATTTGGCAAACTGGAGAATACACTTAAAGAGAGACAAAAGAAAAACAGAAATTGAGATAAATAATCTTGGGAAATATCGAGAACAAAACAGACATTGATAAAAAACAAATAGTGGATTCAAACATATCCAGAATAGATTTGTATTGTTGGAAATCTTGATTTGTCATTTGTTTCAGAATTTATCTGATAAAGAGCTAATTCAAAATTTTCAGGTTTCACTCTGTTGCACAAGTTTTATATCCTCAGACTCAGTAAAGCACTGCAAGTAAATGCATTTTTAATAGAGTAGAAACAAACCAGTTGTCTAACGCAAAAGAGAGGACACAGTGTTAGCCTAGACTGAATTTCCTAGACTGCTGAAAAGCAAAGATTCAGATTGCAAGAAGTGCAACTCAACTTTTATCCTTCCGTGACAGAGAAACTGGGCTCTCTGCAAACCTTTTTGCACTTCTGCTTCTCCCAAAGGAAAGAAGACCCTGTTTTGTGGGCATGACGCCAAACCAAAAATGAATGGCTCTAACCTCCTGATACACTGTCCCTTTTAAACAGCACATCAGTATCTCTAACCTCAGTCATGAAGACTGCTGTTTTCTTCTTCAGAATTTGATGGAGCCGTAGCCCCTCCATAAGCATCGTACCGGGTGTTAACCCACATGCTATGATATTTGCTCCTGTGGCTTTTGAGGTGAGTGCAGACTCCAGTGCTCAATCTCAGCTGATAACTCAGGGTTTTATCTATGCTTGAAAATGATTCACTCTGTCTTCCAACACTGGCAGTGAAAGTATATACCAGAGTAATACCAATATTTAATTGCCTTAAGAACTGGTAGGATTGGGAGCAGAAACATAATTAGTAATTGTTAAAAAGTGCTTTTCAGCTTTTGTTCTCCTGTACCTTTTGATATGCAAATAAAATGTGAAATCAATAATTTGAAATTTACTTTTTAACTTTCTTTTGATCTCTACCTATCTGCCTTTAGAAAGCACAAGCATCACCATCACACTGTCAAACGGATGCCTACTAGACTGAAGGAAAAACTGTACTGGAAACTCAGAAAGGTTTTCAGTAAACACTTTCTTTTAAACTTCTTTTTTTTTTCCCCTCCCAGGAAGAGATGACTTCTTAGACACATGCTGTAAGGTTTATCTCAAAAATATCAACAAAGCCTTCTGTAGATGGCTGACACGACTCTGTTTGTAGTGGGGAAAAACATGCAACCATGCAGATTTCTGAAGAGTTCAGAAGGAACACACTTTGTTCCCCTTTCTGACTTGTGTGCAAATTTTTTTTCATGGCAGCAGGGTTTTGGAGTCAAAGCAACTGGGGAAGAATGGAATAGGGGGGTGAGTGTCAAAACATGCATAAGACTTAGAATAAATTCCCTTCCCCTGAATTCTCTATCTTGGATTTGAATTATCATTTCCAGTGTCCGAGGCAGGTCTGTTAAGTCTACACCACACTGGGCTGCCTGCAACATAAACCTATATTGAGTGGGGTGTTCAAGGCAGTGGAACTTCCACAGTGCTGCCACAGAGAGAGAATCCAGAAAAATCAAATTAAGGTAACTTAGTTTTCTCTTGCTTTAGTTCCCATCTTTCAACACATCCTTCTGATTCCATCTCTGGCACGTAATGCAATTTAGACTCCCTTCAGAATACATGAGGGATGCAGTGAGATTGAAGAGAGTTTGAGTAATAGGTAGGTTCTATTAATAAAAGGGAGCCTAATTTATCTGCACTACTCACTGTCTCTAAACTTGATCCATGGACTTAGTTCAGTTCAAGAACTGCTAGTCATGTGATTAGAAAGCCTCCCAGGCAGTTTCTGAATATTTTGTGGCTATTGTCAGATACTGGCTCACCAGCCCATGTTCGTGGAGCATTTATGGTAGTTGAGACTACGGGAAAATAAAAAGATTGCTCGGGTGAGCTTGTTGTATTTGAGATCCTATTCCTTTTGAACTCTCTCACAAACGCTTCTTTGTGTTGATCAACTTTTGTTAGCCATGAGAGGGTAAGACTTACAGTTGTCTGTATCTTTCTTGAAACTCACAGGGATTCCTCTTGAGTATAAGGGATTCAAGTGGAGTATGTCTGAAGTCTGATATTCCACTTAGTGTCACAATGTTATTTTCAGCGAGTGATAAGTGCTGAATCTGAGGTATCTTTGGCAGCTGTTTGAAGGATGTAAAGTGGTTTTTATTGACATTTAGTTCTCTGCATCTGTAAAGTACAAAGCGCATGACATCACTGATCACATCCATAATAGTACGTACCTGTAAGCCAACACAGGGATGGCTCTTCACGTAGTCGAAGTCATGGCAGTTTAGGGCTTCCAATGAGAGATACAAGAATCTGATTCCTCGAGACCTGCTTTCACAATAGTTTTACATTTGTGCTATTTTTGCCTACCTATGGACTGCAAGATCAGATCCCTACACTTTATACTCTCAGCTTTCTTTATATTATACAATGGATACATCATTATTCTTGTTCTCAGTATTACAACTTTCCATATACCTAGACATATGACCACACGTAGCAATAGATGGATTGTAAAAATGTAGTTGTCACGGTCACACTTGGCCTCTCTGCTTGGGTTATGTTCCACCATCTCTTCATATAGAATCCTTCAGTGTTTAACAATGTTCCCCTTCAGCACAAATATTACGGAACTTGACGAGGCTCATAATTATTCGCCAGGAATAAATGGGACATCATCTGAACTCCTGGCTGAATATTTTCAACTTGGGGATGACATGAACTCAGAATAGCAATATACTGATGGATTCTCAATATAATACCCCCCAAAATACCATATTTTGACAGTTCTCAAGAGACTGCTCCAGCTAAATAATAATTTTGATTTCTATCATATTGCATAAAAATAGAAACAGGACATTTTGTCTACCTTGGCAACCTTATGGCACTTAGGTCTGTCAAAGAATTGTCCACCAACCAAAGTTTTTCCACCCGAATTAGTCTTTGGAGAATCCTTTTAAAGTTTTCCACCTGGTAAAGATCACCCAGGTCCTGAAATGAAAGGTTCAACTCCTGGGAAGGGAAAAACAAAAGAAATCCCTTACATTTTTTTCTTACTTTCTAATAACTACGTCATTAAATCTTTTCAATGTCAGAATTAGTTAAAAGATGAATCTATTTTATTTTGCTGCTTTTATAACAATTGATGGTGCCAATTGCCAAAATCACCGTAGAATGTTAGTGATGCACTACGTAATTCTTTGAAAATAAAGAAGAAAGAAACCATCTCTTAAGCATGTGAATCTTACTGTCCAGCCCCTCCTTCCTCTTTTTTTTTGAGTGGGGATGCCAGCGTCTCTGTGCTCTGGGTGGAAAAAGCAGGACTAAGTGATCATGGCTCATTGGTTTTGAAACTCATTCGAAACTCATCTGGAAAAACAGTGCTGTGCAGCAGCCAGATATCAATATGCCCCAGTCTGTATCATATGTTTACGCACAAGGAGAGGTGTGATCATCAGTACTGGATCTCAGTGTTAGATGAAGTTACTACCTGGCTTCCTCCTTGATCTTAGGGAGGTCGTAACTTACTGCTGATCAGAACCAGCAATAATGTAGTATCTCCAGCCAAAAGAACTGCTCAGGCTGGTATGAGGAGAGAGTGAAAGAGCTGAAATGAAACTGCTCCATTCTCTAACCATTCAGTTATCATCAATTTTTGAGGAAGGCACTAAGCAGGCAAAGAATGTCACTAGTTCTTATGTGCCTGAGCACAAACGAAGACCTGTCACAACACAGGAGTTTATTCTTTCACGTCACAACCCAAATAACAGTATATTCCAGTGTTTCTTCCAGCTTGTAAAAACCTCCTGGCTTACAATGTCATAGTGCCAACCAGAGCTTTAAAACTGCTAACTGCAATGAGCAGCCAGCACATTATTATTTGGCTTATTTACTATTACAGTACAAAATGTTAATGAGAAAGTTTTACAGCGCAGTTTTCCCAGTTCTCTTGCAGTTTCTTTTGCCACTTCTCTGTGTCAGTTACTTGTTTTCTTTTTTTCAAAGTCTGTTCTTCTCCTCTGAAAAACAGCTCTTCTTCTGAGGGCCCTGGTCAGAAAAAAAGCTTTACAATAGTGGATGTGATATGGAACTGGCACTTAGTTACTTGCTGAAAGATTATATAGATGGCTGGGAAGAGATCTGAAATGAAGAAATATATATGATATTATAGGTGTGTGTAGGTTTCCAGGCTTCTAAGATGTAAATTAATGTGAAGATTTTTCTACCATTTCTGGGCTCATAATTCAGCAAGCAATCTAAGATCGTGATGATTTGGTACATGGTTACTAAATGACATTTCTTCTACAGCTCAGAATAAAAGCTTTTTCTAAATGGTTGAGCATAAGCATCTGAGTTCTAAAATACTGTTTCTATATATTCTTTCACATGCTAAGAGTTTATATAGCGGTTATGTACTTATCCCTTAATTGTCCTCAGAAAGGGATACGTTTGTAACTTCCAGACCACTAACAACAGCTGCAACTGGGATCAATAGCCATACTACAAAACCTCATTTGTATTAAGAATGACACACGCTGAAGACTTAAACTCTTAAGGTCTACTGAAATGCTTACAGCTATGGACATCTTCAAATTCCTAACTAAAGCAAGGACAGTGTGGAATTTTTCCACTGTGTAGTCCCAAACATGCAAACACTGGCTTTTAAAATCCACCTTTTATTCTCTGTTCCTGAGTGTGTCTGTAGATTGTAATTGGGCCAATCCAGTCTTAAAATAAAATATATGTGCCACTGTTTGCAAGACTGGATTTCACTCTTGGTTTCTTGTTTGGCATATGGCTATTGCATTGTGAACAGTATTTAAATGTTAATGAACTTTTGAGAGAAGTAATCGACACCACATTAATACTAAAAATTTTCAAATTACAGTTCTGGCTTTTGTTTCCCATTGTCAAAATTATGAAGGGTATTTTCCTAGTGATTAAAAAAAGTAAGGATGTACAGTATGGAATGAAATCCTGCCCCTTTTCAAACCAATGGCAGACTTCATGATTTAAGCTCATAACATTTAAGGATATACTTAAATAGAGTAAATAGAGTTAAGGCTTAAACGTGAATATGTCTTTTTGATCTTTACCTTCTCTCACTCGGGGACAATAAAGCTGATTTCCTCGAACATCATGTTCTTCTATGTCACACCAGCCGAGATACTTGAAGGAATCTGAAGGAAGCTTAAAGAAAGCAAAATAAAGATATAAAACCATCCGTTAAGGTTTTTCAGTCTCTGGCATTGTATTTTCTCATTTTTCTGGCCTTATTACAGTAGAAATAATATTCATAGATGTTTACAATGTCTTCTGCCTTAATACCATCTGGTGAATAGCAAAATGATGTATGGAAGTGAGGATACCATGGCATGCATTTGTGTACACTTATGTATGTAAACACATTTCTGGACAAGCTTACATACAATATATCCTGAATGCAACTGTGGCACTAAATCTAAATAGAGAAAACCTGCCACCACAGTCAAGAATATGAGGTTTCTACCCATTCTGCTTTACCACTAAAACATGTTCTGTAATTTCCAGGGCATCAGTCTCCAAGGAGGGAGCAAGGAACAACGTCTCTAACTCTGCCCGTAGTGGGTGGAGTAGGTGTGATTTGTGTCATGCCCAACAGACACAGCACCGCGATTGCCTGTGGTGGGGGAACGTCTCAGTGCTATGCAGCTTGGCATTTGCTTGAACGTCCAGCATTTCTTTCACTGGAAACCGTGATCGTGGAGTTGAGCGGGGAGCAGAGATGGAGCACGCGCCTCTGACTCACCCCCTCCAGTTAAAGCCACATCCAGAAGCTGGTAAATGCTGTGGGAATTCACAGTTTAGGTGTACTTTACCACAGCTCATTTTGGTTTATTTCTATGAATTTGTTCCAATACTGGAGAGAGATCTTCTCACAGAATATCTGTAGTGTTACCTTTCATAGCACTCCCAGTTAAGAGATTTTCTAGCAAATGTACACAGCTTCTTCAGGACTTATTATAAACTTGCCCATTGCATCCAGTCCTGTGCATAGTGCTCAAAGGCTGAGTCAAATCCTTTGCCACTGCTGACACCATATCATATAATCTTGTTTATAATCTGACCTAGCTTTGGAAGATAAAAGGAGGCAAACCATAATCAGCTTCAAAGCTGAGGAAGAGATTTCTGCCTTAGTTACTCTTTGTCAGTGTCTCTCTCCTATAAACTTGTAATCAGACTGGTAAGTCAAACACTTACTGGGGATGGTAGCCCAGAATCACAGTTCTGCCTGATGATTCCTCTGTTTTGTGATAAAACCAGTGGAGTAGTGTGTGTATCACTTAGGATGGAGTAGCAGGATGAATAGGATTTACAGAATTTTTGATTGCTTGTAGTCTGACCTGAGGAACTAGAGAGGACATGTTAAACCAGTAATTGATTCTGTTCAAAGAAATGCAAACTATTTTATAATAACAGAAAATACAGAGTAGCAAGGGGTAGGACTTACCACCAGACAATAGCCACATGATCCGGAGGTCAAAGCATAGGTAATTCCCTCCAGTCCCTTAATGGGACCTCTCGCCTAAGTACCGTTTACTTACACGTACGAGGCTTTCACAGATATGTCCAAACATTAGAAAGAGAAACTTACTGGCAGTTTGTTAGAAAAACTCAGTCTTCGATAAAATGAAGAACTGAACTTGTTCAATAGCATGATATGTCCCTTCTATTCTGTATAGCCCTGCTTTTATGGATCCAGGTTGTATGAAAAGATATCTATCTCAATTGCATATTTATTTTAACTCCTTGACTATGTTTTAGTAGAATATCAAGGCTCCAGAGAAGATTTGAACTTTGTTCAGTAGAGTCTTGAAGTCATGTGCTTGCGTGCTTTGCTAGTTCATTGCCTAAGGACACTTTCAAAAATACATTTTATATACCCCAAATGATGCAATTTCTCCAATTGTGCTTCAGAGAGATTGAATAATTTGCAGACTGGCAGCTGCAATTTAGAAATTTACCATGGAATACTTAAAAAAAAAAAATTTTAATTTAGTAAGTGAGTGCATATAGCAGTATAATTTGACTTTTACTGTACAAGCTCGGTGAGAGCTTGCCAGAAAGTATCAGCTGTCAGTAAGCATCATTAAAACAATTATAGTCAGGAGCAGAAATGCAGAATAAAAATGCAGCTTTAAAATGGTCTAGTGAGGATGGTAATGAAAGTTTCATATTGCGTGTAACAGACAAGCTAAATAGAACACCAGTTAAAACTTAACGATTACAGATTATTGGTAAATACTCATGAAGAGACACATACTGTCTACCTTACTGTTTTGCCTTTTTTAAACCTCAGCAAAACCCAGTAGTACATCTTTCCTGGCTTTTGCCTGAAAGTGCATACAGACTGCACAGAACAGTACTGACATAGGGAAGTACTCCTCCCTTCATGCCTTATCTTTGGTTTTTTAATGGGATCAAACCAGCCACAATAAACCGTAGGTGACTTAAAGGAAGCTGAGCAAGCTCAGCATTTCTGAAAATAACAGCTATTTACTTAGGCATTTTTAGAGGTCATCTTGAGGCAAACAGACCATTTTCACGCGTGTGTGCTGCTACAGATCAGCAGGCATTCACACACACACACAGCCACCCTGTGAAAAGAGGATTTACATTAGGTCAATATAAAAAAAAAAAAGAAAAAAAAAGTGCTGAGAACTCTTGTTTAGCCCTATGTTGGTATTTGTTTTGCTTCTTTGTATGTTAAATGAGGTCACACCAGAGAAATATGTAGAAATTCTTTTATATTTAAGAAAAAGATCTGTTATTCTTAGTTTTGGAAGCGATTTGTTAGGGTGTATTCATATGACTATTTATAACTGCAAGACTTTTCAAAACCTACCTTCCTCTCAGCTAGATACTACCTCCTCTGCTGAGACATGAATATACACTCCTAGTCCCTTGAAATGTGGGATAAACCATTTTAGCTGAACCATTTAACATGATATCTATTCTGATCTTTTGGCAGAAGCCCACTCACAAAATTCTGTATCGGTGATAGAAAATAAAACATAAAGTTCCAGAATCAATATGTGATAAGACTTCTCCAATTAGGTGGGTAGTGAGATTTCTTCTGGAAAGAGTGACAGAAGGAAGCATTTTTCACCTCAGAACTGCCTGAGTTTAATAAGCACCAGCTGGACCCTAACATTATGTCACAGATTTTTCTAAAGGAGCAAGTGCAACACTGCTTTTCTCTCCTTTGCTTTGTCTTCCTTACTATTTTGCTGCAAAATTGATGCAAAAGAAATGGCAATGAATGAGGCAGAATGCAATTCCAAACAATTACAGATCACACGATACATGAAAGTAACAAAATTTTCTCCCTTGATTGTGAGGCCCTTTGGCTGGATATGAATCTCCAATGACACCTCTGGGAGCAGCACACTAGATTATGTCAAGCATTAGGGGGGAAAAAAATTAGATTCATGATGTCTGTCCAGGCTGAGTCATTTCCTCTCACTTTGCCTGCAGTGAGAAATTGGTGGTTATCATAAATCATAGGCCTAAATTCTTATGAGAGAGGAATTAATTTCACTAATGGAAACCCTCTGTGGCAATAGCATTCCTCCATTCTCTCTCTTCTTGGGGAGGGGAGGGTATATATGATGTCTTTTAAGGAGAGATAGTTGACTATATTTTAAGAATCCTATAAAAGATGATTGGAAAGGAAACTTAAAATGGTAAGGAAGAAAAAAATCTTGCATGTGACCAAATTCTAATTTCTGAGGCAGGCCCTCAGTCTTTGTTTGTATCATGGCCACAGCTTCGCCAACTGATATCAAAACCACGTACAAAATTTCAGAATACTCAAGTCAACTTTAAACACCTAAAAGCTCCATATGGTTAAAGTATGATTTCTCCTACCTAGCTGGAGTTGCCAGCCTGCAAGGCCAGGCTTAACAAATTTTGTTGGCTTGAGAGGGAGAGTGGAGACAAGTGGTTATGTTTCAGCTGGAGTGAACCACGGTCCACACTGTCAACATGAGGAGCCCACAGACTTTCCTGAGAGTGGACACAACTTCAGGGCATCTGAATTTTGATGAGGAGGATCCCACTTTAATTGTCTAAAGGGTGCTTTGAAATAGCGGACTTCTCATCACTTCAAAAAAGCTCAGGGAAATCATTCTGTTCCATGTAGCATAATTGAAATATATAAAATAGCCATTTCATCTAAATAATTAAAGAAAGAAACAAAAAAATTGTACAAAGCAATTCTTTGCTAGCATCTCGAAATCTAGAGTGCTGCATATGAGCTGAATAGAGGTAGCATGGACTGTGGGGGTAAGCGAAAGTACTCATGACTAACCCAATGTATTTTATGTATTATCCTCAGCAGAAGTCTCAGTGGGGAATTAAGTGGCTGAAATATTTTGTAAACTGGAAGGAATGAGTACAGAACAGCCACTGCATTTTTCAAAACATGATTTATGACATATCAGGCCATATCTTGGAAAATCATGCACTCCTATAGAGTTCACTGATAAAAGTCACACTTTATCAAGATGTCAGTGTCAGTCGTGTGTCCGTGAAACGGGTCTGCCTCTCCTCCCACTGACATCTTGGCAAAATTTTCATAGGCAACAAAATGCTGTAAATTTCCTAACTGCAGTGCAAGTACATTTGAGTCCAGCTGACATTAAGGGTAGAATATATTAAAAGCCCATTAAATACTTTCAAGAGCTGTAGCTGAGCTACTTCTGAAACTACATCAGTGAAAGATATTCCGAGTGAAACATATTCCTCCTGTGTATTATTTTAGATATTTGGCCATTAAGAAAAGACTGTCAGTCAAAAGACTCCTTTCTCCTGATATGACTGGCAGCCTCGATAAACAAACATCTTAGACTCTACAGCACAGGTTCAGTTTGCCTCACAAAAAAGGGCAAATGGAAAGCTCAGTGGAAGAGGAGTAAAGATAAAGAAGGTTTTAAGCAAATTCTTGCAGTTGGGATTTGAAAGGTTTTTGTCCCAGTATTTTGAGGAGTTTTGGGGTCTGGTCTAGCTTCCAGTAGTCTTATCCCCAGCAGCCTCGAGCAGGCTTAGCTTTCACTGAACCATGGCTGCTTTCCTCGTAGATCTGAAATGTCCTTGATAAAAGATTTGGGAACAAGTAGTAGAGCTATTTATACTACCTCTTCACATATTCAGAGTCAAAATTCCTATGAGGCTCGCTACAGCTTCACATCCCACCAAATCACAGAATATATATGATGGAAGGGCCCGTACTCCCGTGTGGTTGATCTCAGCAGAGGTCAGATTGCTATTTAAGAGCAAAGTGCTCCAAACTCTTTCAGTCCTGTTACTATGGAAGTGAAAAACATGGATCATTCTAAAGGAACGAAATCTAACATATTTTAAGATCATCTTTAAGAAACAAAACAAAACAAAACAAAAACCAAACCCCAAAAGAAAGTAAGAAAGGGGTGATAAATCCTCCCAAAGAGAAGAGTTCTTATATCTAGGACAGAGCTGCTGATTTTGCACAGGCTGTAAGAGAGCTGGTCATGGGTCTGTCCAAACCACTTGCACAAATAGCTGTTTGCTTGCATGATACAAATACCCAGTTACTTATGTCGTCTCAGTCAATTGCACATGCTACAGCTGATCAACATAAATCAACTGCAGGGTTAACTTACAAATGCAATTTGTATAGGTATTCAAAAGAGAGCAAACTCAGAAGTCAGGCTGTGCTTTGTTCAAAATGCACACAATTTACTTCTATGTAGCAGCTGTTGCTTGTATGCAAATATTTATTATGAGAACTCTCTGATCTTAGAATAGTAGAGGACTTGGACATAGTGTTTCCATGGTCTATTACCTTTCAATTATTTTTTTATAGGAGTTTTATGAGACATTATGCAACATTTTGAAGCAGTTCTTTTGAGCATAATTTAGTGGCAAACACACCTGTAAGTTATGGTTACAATGCATCCTTGCTGTTAGCTGTATCATCAATTATCTTGCTTTATGCATCATAGAATTGCCCCCAAAACCCCATAATTAACATAATTAGGTCTTATCACCATAATTATACATTCCTAGCATATTAACTAACATTCCATACAGCTCTTCATGAATCTAATTTGCAACGATGCAAATTCTACATCTCAATCAATGTGTCTTTCACACATTTTTACAACAAATTATACATTTTTTTGAGACACCTTTTGTCTTTCAGTAATCAGCCAATGGCACCAAGAAAAAACCCATTTTTCTTCCTGTTTTCACTGCACAACAATCTCCATCAGCAATACAGGTCGGTACATTTTAAAAAGATACTCAATCCTGTAACACTATCTTTGTTGTCAAAGCATGTCAAGCCAGCTGTGCAATGACTACAGTTAC